TTGACCTAGATTGAAGGTCATTTGTTTTTCTGACAGCAAATTATACAAAAAATTATTCAAAATACCGGGTAATCCACTACTGTGCAAATTGTCTGACAGTATGTCTATGGAAACCGAATCAAATGCGCCCTTAATATCCAAAAAGACTGAAGCCAATTGCTCCTTGTGCGCAAAGGCCAGTTGAATATCAGATGAAAGCATCGCTAGACAATCGTTTGTTCCTTTACTCTTCCGGAAACCAAATTGCGTATTTGAAAGTAGATTGTTTGATTCAACTCAATGGTCAAGTCTTAATAGGATCATTTTTTCTAATAATTTCCTCAGGCATGATAACATAGAGATCGGACGGTAAGAATTGTGATCAGACGCTGGTTTCCCAGGCTTTTGAATAGCTATTACTTTAACCTGTCTCCATGCTGGTGGAACTATATTGAATTCCATAAATGAATTATATAGGGTAAATGTTGGCTTCGGCACCCATTGACTGTTTTCGGCAACCAAAATTTAAACGTTAATTTCACTATGTTTTCCCATCAACGCACTTCCGTGAATGTGTCCAAACGATTGTTTAGCCTTTCAGCTTCAATCTGATTATATTTGAACGATCGAGCAATCCAGTAATGCTACATTTTTCTTCAAATAAAGCATACGCACTACAAAATGGGGTTGATTTCGAGTTGCCGATAATAGAACAGCTGGTTAACACGCAGTTCTAATGGGAAGGTTGCCGAAGAAAAAGAGGCTGCCGACAATAGTCACACTCACCTGAGAAGTTTGGAGCGTTGTAAAAACGCTTTCAAAACGTTTTGAAAAATTCTGTCGATTGGAATGGATAGAGAAGCAAGCAGCAGATGAATGTAAACAAACAGACACATCATATATGTGCGTGACGCTGCGAAAATGCTAGTAGAAGTGCAGACGCTGCTTAGATTGACGAGAATACGTAAATTCCCCTAGGTTAAGTAATCGTCTTTTAGCGATATCGGGGAGGTTTTTTAGAAGGTCGAATTTGATCATATCGCTTCCCGGAGCAGAGTTATTCGATGAAAGAAGTGCCATTAAAAATTCCAGTATTGTGAATGGTTCATCCAAAGAACCGTTACTTCGGACTGTATCCCGTAAAGTTGGTTGTGCTGGAACAGAATCTGGACAAACCTTTTTAGCGAAGTCCAATATCCATTGGGAGGAGTATTCTTCACTCTCATTGGAAGATGAGCGGTTTCGCATATAGCGAGCCTTTTTCCAAAGCGTTGTCATCGAGGTTTCTCTAGAAAGTCCCTCGATAAAAGTACGCCAGTAATTTCGTTTCTTTGCTTTTAGTAAGTTTTTAAGCTTTTTTTCAAGCTTTAGATACTTTTCAAAAAGCTCAGATCTTTCATGTCTCTTACGATTACCTTTATTAGGTAGCGGCGGGGTGGAAAAGCTGCAGCAAGGATCAGATGGAGCAGCAATTACCGATTTGTTCGGCTTTTTCAATGAATCCCCGCTACCTTCAGATTTTTGCATACTTTTGAGAGTGGTTTTATTTTTTTTCCGGCGCACTCCCGGGGAGCTAGTCGGCTTCCTTTTACCGGGGGCGTGTACCTCCGGAGACTCACTCTCATCTGCTATGTCAGAGTCCATTTCATCGGAAGACAAAATCTCAAAAGTGTTTTCATTTTGAGCGGCTGATGCCAACGAAGCAGAGGTTCCATTTTGCAACTTAACCATTTCTGCAAACGTCAGCTTGGAGCGTTCTTTTATTGAACGCTTCACATTATTGGTACGCTTCTTGTACGCGGGGCAGTCCTGCAAAGCATGAAGAGGTTCTTTGCCACAGTAAGCACATTTAGTTGCTTCCTGTTGGCAAGCACCCTCCATGTGGTCTTGGCTACATTTGCCACAACGGGGCTTGTTGTCACAAAAAGCAGCTGTGTGTCCCAACTTTTTGCAGTTGGTACAATTATATACCCTTGGTACAAAAAGTCGCACCGGGAAAAAAACATTTTCAATTTCTAAAAACTTTGGGAGAACCGATCCAGCGAAAGACACCTGTAGTGAGCCTGAAGGGGAATAAGTCTTTTGACCATCTACCGTGGTCGCTGAATACAATATCCTGCAACCCAAAACGTCCACGGTAGATGTAGCAGCATTTTGAAGGCGCCCCATACCTTCCATGACGTCATCACACGTCAGGCTCACTGCAGAGACCACGCCGTCTATCTCCACATCTCGAGATGGGATGTAGACGTAATACTCTTCATTATAACCCTCGTCGTCAGCAATCTCATTTGCGACTTTATATGTGAGTGCAGTTATACGCAGTTTGTTCCGATTGACCTGATGAAATTCGGTCCCCGGGAAACGACGCGTCAACGTTCTTTTAATCCCTAAGAAGTTTAGGGCTTTCTCTTTCTGCCGAAAGTAGACAACCCAAGGCGAAGCAGAAGACGCCTGGTAATGACGCTTTCTTACTTTATCATTGGGAGGCTTGACGCCCCCCTGTCCTTCATCCATACGAAATTGAAAACTTTCGTTAAGAAGTAATTAATTTTTTATTAAAGAACCACCCTATGTGGAACGATTCCACTGGGGGAGAGACAGACGATTCACAAGCAAACAGTCAGAGGAATGGGTATACAAAAAACAGATACCTACGTGCTATTATTTGCCCTTACCGTTTCTACTGCTTATACTGTTGCTGCTCTGCCACAATAGATGCCGGTCGTACACACCGTCCGTGCGGTGGCTCACTGCTTTCTGCTGGTTATTGTTTCCAGTCCGTGTGATTGCCACTGTTTAACCGTTCTTGCTGCTAACTATGGCTAATGATGCGACAAGAATTTTGATATCGTCGAAGCGGGTTAAAGTTGAACAGACCGACCGTAGGCGAGTCACCTAAGGCACAAAAACTACTTGCAAATAAAAAACTTTTCGCGGTGAAAAAATACTTTCAATGCAATGCCATGTGACGAGACAACAGACCCTGATGTTGCTCATTCGCTAGCAGAATGTGGAATGAGCCAAAAAGTTGAGCACGTTTCTTCGGGACCTACTTGTCTTAGAGTTACCTCTATGGTATTACCAACAATCAATACGAAACTAACGATTTTAAATTGGCTCACTACTTGACTAGCCTATTGGTCCCAAGCAAACGATTAACGTACCCTATTCTAGTTGAAATTCTATTACTACACTATGTTTGTTTTGATTCGCTATGAAAGTTTGACAGATAACATCAGGGGTGTGTGGATTCATGCAGAACATGCAGGGGTGAGTGAAATAGCTTGGGACTGCTTGGGACCGTTGTTCTGGTACTGAGTGAGCCAAAAATAATAATGATTTTCTTCGGGACCCAGTGGTCTTAGAGTTACCTCTATGGTATTACCCTGAACTAAATAGAACTGTCAAAAAAATTCTCGAAACTTTTCTGAAGTTTATGGGATTGACCGGAATTTATCGGACCTTACCCATACGCATCTTCGAATTTCCCTGAAAGTCTGGAATTTCTTGAATTTCACGTAGTTATGAAGTTATTGAAAGTGCCGTTAATATCTCTGAAATTCCCTAAAGGTCTCTAGTCTAACTTCTTTGAGGTACTTGGAAGTTCTTTAAAAGTTCAATTTTCCTCATGTTATCTCCACATCTCTGAAATTATTTTGACTTCTTAAAAGTTCTCTGGATATCCCTGAATTTCTCAAATTGTCTTAAAAGTTCCTGCAGTTTCCTGAAGTTTTTGGAACCTATTTTAAAATCCTGAAGTTTGCCTGAAGTTCACCAAAATTTCCAGAAGTTTTCGGAACTTACCTTTTGTTCCCACAGTTTGCCTATAAAAGTTCCTGAAATTCTTAGTACTGCATTTCATTCCTCAGACTCTCCTGAACATCTCTATTGTTTCCTGAAGTTTACGGAACTTTCCTTATGTTTTCCTGATGATGTTCCAGGATTTTTTTTTTCTGAAAAACATGGATCTTCTTTGTAGGTTTCTTAATGTTTTTAAGTTCATTCCCTGCAGTTTTTTTACTATCCTTAAATTTTCGGAACTACTTGATGGTTTCCTTTATTTTACTGAAATAAATGGAACTGCCATAAAGTTCCCAAAACGAGCCTAAAGTTTTAGGAACGTCCCTCAAGTTCTCACAGTTTTCCTAATATTCATGGAACTGCCCTAACATTTTCAGAACTTACCCGAAGTTCACGTAACTTACTCATAGTTATTAAAGTTTAAATTTTCCTGAATTTAATGGAACTGCCCTGAAGCTCTTGATCTTCGCTGAAGTAAATTCTCCTGAAATCTATTAGATTGCCTTGCTTAGAGATCTTTTAACTTCGAAGTTCGACGATAAGTTTAGCAACTATCGGTGCGAAAGCCGAAAACGTAAATTCACAATCATAGTGATAGCAACGACCGGTGCGTAAACAAGTTTCTAACTAAAATAACAATGGCTAAAGTTGTCAAACTAGCAGCCCAAATAGCAGCGCATTGGTGCGGGTGCTCTTAGCTAAAACTTTTGTGCGAAACTCAAATCTGTATCTCTTATGCATGACGGACTAAAGCGGGTTGAACTTGATATTGATATAATTTACATTCTCTGAAAAGCTATGGTGGGTTCAGTTTGCTCTGGTTCATCATGCATAAGAGATACAAGTTTGAGTTATTCACAAACATTGTAGAGCATATCAAAACTTACAAAAGCTTTATACATTACTTTACGGAATTCTGTTTATAGTGAACATATAGTTATATAGTGAACACTATAGGAAACATATAGTGACCGGTTTAAAGTAGGCTGAATAAGAGCCATATTCGAAACATTCTCAAATTCACTCGAACTGAACGAACATAAGGCAACGGTGATACCCTAATGTACTTACTTCCGGTAAATCCCGGTCAAGGAAGAGTGAAATTATCTACATAGGAACAGTACAGCTCAATAGTTGAAACGAGATTAATATATTTCCGAAAAAGCAGCAACTTTAATAATCACTTTAATAATATCATATACATATACTGCATTACGGTTGCACACGGCTGATAAAATAAAAGGAAAAAAAAAACAAAATTCTACGAAAAGAGACAACAACATTTCAAGTGGATTTTAAAGCTTTTCTCTCTAACAAAGGTAATTTGGAATCAACATAGCGTTTCAGATTGAAAGTTTTCATTCCTGTTCGAGATAATACAGAGTGTGCATCATGAAGGCTAGTAGCTAAAACACGTGATGAACCTTTCGAGAATAATCTAACACAAATTCGCCAGGAGAAAGGTAAAGCCTTGTCCAAAAAATGGGAACCTACTACGACGTATATCGTGTATATAAAGGGTTTCCGTGTGCTGGATCCAAAAATCCCTGTAGAATAGTTATGTGTGGTACATTTAAACGGAGTCCTGTTCCTGCTGGGCTCGCAATTCGGCAGCGATATCTTCGAACCGGGCGATGTAGTCCACGCTGGACTCGCTGATAATACTGATGTTCATTTGCTGTCAATGAGAAATCAGAACAAGTCTTGAATCGTTACAGAATAAGTGCCAACAAAACGATAACTCACGTCGGATTCCCTCTTCCGGGTGGGCGCCTCGCTCTCGTAAGCTGCATCCAGATGCCCGAGGAAACTGCTCAACGAAATATCGTTGATGTCGGTGTCGACCAGTTTGCCATCGATGGGCGATTCCCGGAGGATCCGGGTCGCCGAAATGGTTGTACAGTTGCTATTCTCCCCGATGACAGCACCGGACGCCGTGCGGGAATCGGTGTCACTGCTCATCAGATCGGCCATCAGAGACGACGACGTGGAAGGCAGCGAAATGTCGAACAAACTCAGACAGCTGCTATCGTCGACGGTGGCAGCGCTGGAAGACGTAGGATTGGAAGAGGTGCTGGTTCTGCTACTACCGCCACCGCTGCCGCTGAAGCTACTGATTTTGTCCTCCAGAAGCTTGGTTAGATGATCGTCGACGGCACTCGATCGACTGCTGGTGGAAGCACTGGCAGCGTTAGTTTGCGAATGCTGGCTGGACGAAGAAACTGTCGACGGCGTGTGACCGCCGTTGGTCACTTTCGGCGAATTGGTGTAGGTATTGTTGTTGTTGTTATTGTTGTTGACTCGATTCGGCGGGTAGGGTGGGGTTCCGTTTGGTAGCATCAGTCGTTGCGAGGGCAGCTGGAGGCGATTGACGCGCATTCGCCACCAGCGGGATTGTTTGTAGCGCATGTGCGGCGATGGGAGGACCTGTTTGGCAGAAAATGAGGGGTTCAAGTTTTACATTTTTAATGTGAAAAGAGGGAGAGTTCGAAGGGAACTTCCGAAAACGTCACAGGGAAATTCAGAGAAGTGAAACATAAGAAAAGTTTTCAAGGAATTGCAAAGATGTTCTCATGAATTTCAAAGAAGATCTCACGAAATTTTACACAAGTTTTCAGAGAGCTATACAAAAGTTCTCAGAAGACTTCAGACAAGTTTTCAGGGAACTTCAGGGAAGTTTTCATGGAGTATAAGAAACATTTTCAGGAAACTTCAAGAAGGTATCAGTGAATCGGAAATTTTCTCAGGGAACCTCAGAAAAGTGGGGCAAATCTAAGGCTTTTCACATTACCACATCTAATACAGATAAACACGATTGCATGCAACACTCACATTACAGTTGGCCAGGGTGGCGCCGGCGTTGCCACGGCTCGGTACCATGGGTTGCTTGAACAGGAGATTATCATTCAGAGCGGCCGCACTGGTCATGGAATCCGCAATCTGCAAAACAAAAGAAAGAGCAAGCAGCCCAGTTAGCGCAGATCAAATCACCCCCCGACCGTACAACTCACCTTGATCCTTCGGTCGCAAACATGGCCACAGGGGCACCGTCGTTTGCCAGTCTTTTCGTTCAGGTTGGCAATCTGGAGCAGTTGTTTCAGTCGGCCGCTCAGATCCACGGGCAAGTTAGCGCTTAAGCTTTTCAAAAAGTCACCCCCGAAACCGGCGGACGGCATCGGATCCGGACGATCCTGCACACCGCCATCGACGACGGTGTCGGTTGCCTCCACGGCAGTGACCGTCACTTCAACCCTCTGTTCCTTGGGCATTTCCCAAAGATACTCCAGATGCAACTTGTTCTCCTCGCCGAACATGATGTACAAATCTCCCACCGTCATGTCCCCGACGCTCTGCATGGTCCATCCCTCCCGGATTTTCTGAATGGTCTCCTCCGAGACCATCGGTCGAAAGTGTATTCCACTCATCGCCGTCACGCCCGCTTTCGAGTCTTTCCGTTTGCTACACTTTTCTTTCGAGTCCTTTTTCTTCACTGTCGTTTTGATGAGATCTTCGTGGTTGTTTGCAGCAGGCTCACTGCTACTGCTACCCGTACCTTCCTCTGGTTTCGTTTGCTTTGGCTGCTGCTGCTGCTGCTGCTCGCTCTCCAGCACCAGGATGCCATCGTTGGAATTATCACCGTGCGCCAGCTCCGGTTCGAGCATGATACGGCTTATGCCGGTCAGTTTGATGGAATCGTTCAATTCCGAACACTTCAGATCCGGCCCATCAGCGGAGGTTTCCATTACTGCGGTTTTCCCACCAGTAAGATGACTTTCACTATCGCTTCCTTCGACATCTTTCACCGCTTCGAACGATTCGCAGGACGCGTTTGGCGACTTGAAAATCTGTGGAAAAAAACATTTCATAAGAACAACGAATCGGTATTATCGATCAAGTACGATTGTACTCACCTCGGTCAAACTCGCCAAAGCCGTACCGTCCCCGACTTTTTCCTCTTTAGTTTCCTTTGCCTCACTCTTCACCTTCTTCCCATCGGGACTGTGCTTCTCCGAGTTACTGTCGTGCCGCTGCCTTTTCGAGTTCGTTCCCACCCGCTCCTTGAAGCTGTTCAACTTTTCCAAACACAACGCTTCCCCCCGCACCTTTGCCCCAATCCGTTGTTCGTACGAGTTCAGACATATGCTATAACTGCTCAGGAATTCCGTCAGATTCACCATCGGTCGATGGATCACCGCATCTTTCGACGGTGTCAAGCGCATTATCTTCAGTCCTTCGTCATCGGCAGTCTCGACGGCCATCCTGGTGCATAGTTCCAGTTCATGGCCAGCCTTTTGCCGGGCCGCTTTCGATGTGGCCACCATATTGGTCGTCTTCAAGCTCGAAACCCGTTCCACCAGTCGAACATCCTGATGGCGCCACTTAGACTGCAACAATTGCAGCAATGTCGACACTCGTTTCTGAAGAGTCACCGAGATCCTCACGCGAGGATTCTGCGCCAACGATTGGACGCGACCCCATGCAGCAACCGCAGCCGGTCTCATGATAACATCCACCCTTGGCGGTAGCCGAATCTCCTCCTGCCACTCCTCCAACTGATTAAGTTTCCTCAACGCTCGACACGAAGGAGTCTTGATTCTAATGTTCCTTCCCTTTTCCCGTATGATCACCGCCCCCTTGTACACCAAATCCTTCAACTTGTGAAAGTATTTTTTGTTCTGGAACGGAACCTTCTTCCTCATCTCACCGTAGTTGATCAACCCGTACAGTTCCTGTGCTTCCTTCTTGACTTCGTCGGAAAAGTGCAAATACTTGCTCACTTTCTGGTTGAATTGATAGTACAGATGTCGGACGTCCTTCACCTTGAAAACCAGCTCATTGTTCCCCTCCTTCCGGCGCTTTTTCGTATTCAGATAGTTCACAATCCCTTCGAAATCCTTTCCGCACTCGTTCAGCGCCTCGAAGAACAGGTTCTTGTCCTGATTGCTCCAAACCACCCGGACCGGTTTCTGCTGGTTGGGTGTCTTGGCTTGGTATCCTCCGGCGGCACCGGATCCGCCCTTCCCGCCGATCGCATTCGTTCCACCCTCCTTCCGGTCCGGCGGAGGCGGAGTGCTACCCCGAATGGAGTCCATTCGCATTTTGTGAATCACCCGTGCGCTGGTACGCAGCGCATGGCCGCACTCGGCGTCACCACTCGGGTAGAACGTGGTGACGGATCCGAGCAGTTCTTCGGTCGGAATCTGCTGCAGGCTAGGGTCGGCCAGTTTGTGCGGGATCGGTTTGCCCACCGATGTGGAGTGCGCTTTCGGGGTGCCACCGGAGGGCGGGTTGTGCGTCTCCGTCGTGGCCGGTGGTGGGTGGCTTTGGGGCGGGTGTTCGTCGGGATCACCGGGGCCTCCTCCACCCGGAGGGGGTTTCCAATCGACATGGTTGGATTTTGGATCACTTTTGTGGTGAGTATTGACAATCGGATCGATGTTGGTGGATGCAGGGATACAGTCCATTTCTGGAAGGATGATGAAGATACGGAATTAGACAAACTGAATCAGTCGGTTAGTAATTAGTGCTAATCCTGGAATTACTTCCCTGAATAAGTTGAAACACATTATTTTCAGAATCCCTGAAAAACTCCGAGTCTGGTGCTGTGTGAGCTTCCAAAACTTCCTACAATCTTTCTTCTTCCAGGAACTTCTCGATCTCCAGGAACTATTGTACTCTACGACTATAGCAAATTGTGCACTCCTGGTACATAAAGAACTTTAGGAACTTCTGCAACTCTAACAAACGTTTGAACTATTGCGAATTGCAACAAAGTCCGATACGCTAAACATTCCGAAACTGAATCAAAAGAACTATAAAAAAAATGTGAGGAGGAATGAAAATCAATTCTTATGAGACCTTCACTGTGAATAAAATTCCAAGGGAAAGAGTGAGATTCAAAAAGAAATCTGAAATTAATTCAATAAAAATTCTGAGAATCTTTCCATAGGATTTCTGACTGAAAAGAATTTTAAAGCAATTCCTAGGAAAATTAAAAGAAAATTGAATTCGAAGGATATTTCCAACGAAATTTTGAGGAATATTTCAATGGAATTGCGAGAAGTATTCTAACTATATTCGTGTGATATTTGTTTTAAAGCATTCAGAGGAACGTTCCAAGTGAATTTCTGAAATAATTTCGGGAGAATACGAGCGAATGATGAGGAGAACTCCAAGCGAATTTTCATTAGAAATCTCCGTTGAATATGGAATGGACTATTCTGAGGTCTTCAGAATTATTTGAAAGTTCCAACAACATTCTTGTAGTTAATGAAACTGCCTTGAAGTTGTTTTGTAGTTTGAGAAACTAACCTGATGCTCGCAATACTTCTCATCAATTTGTTTCACATCTCTAAACTTTTTCGAACTTTCTCGATACTTTTTTTAAAATATATGCAATTTACCTGCTCTGGAATATCTCTGCTCTAAGCATATCTGTTCTTTTTTAAGGTTTTTTAGAGTTTTTTTTGCGAGATCAATATTTTTTCTTGAAGTTCTCGAAACTTCTCTAAAGTTTTTGCAGTTCGCATGAAGCTTGTTGAACTACCTTGAATTTAATTGAACTGTCCTAAAAATGTTTAAGCTTCCGTGAACTCCTGGACTTATGTGAAAATCTCAATATATTTCTTAACATCTCTAAAGTTCTCTGAAAATCTGGGAACTTCTTGAAATTTCCCTCTAATTTACTGAAACTAATGGAACTGAACTCCCCTGAAATTCCCCTTGTTTTTTTTAACTTATTTGAAATGCTCCCGAAATGTCCATACAAGTTCCTGAAGTGCTCGGATCTTCCCTTAAGTTTCATAGACTTCTATGAAGTTCTCGAAATGTTTCTGAAGATCTCTGCGAAGTTTTCGAAGTTATTATGAAATTTCAGGAACTTTTTTTAGCGCCCGCAACGAAATAACTAATAAGGTTCAATGATATTCACTGAAGTTCTCAAGATTTGTCTGAAGTTCAAATTATAATTAATTCATAAAGTCTTTAATAGTCTGGAATTTCCTGATGTGTTTAAAACTGCCAACATATTACTCAATTTCCTTAAAATTCTCTAGACTGCCCTGAATATCTTAGTATTTGTTTAAAAGAACCCGCAATTTTACTGGATTGATTGAATTTCTTTTAGGGGAAATGACGGCTTCGGCATGCGAGACTATTTTCGGCAACCCAAATTGAAACACTATTTTCATTGGATTTTCTTACGAAAACACTTCGTTGAATGCATGCAAACGATTCTTTATGCTTTCAGCTTTAATTTGACTATATTTTTACCACTGAGAAAAAGCAATTTAGCAAGGTTTTCTTGAAATGAAACACACGCACTACAAATTGTAGCTAATTTCGAGTTGCCGATAATAGAACAACAGATTTACATGCAGTTCAAATGGAACGGTTGCCGAAGAAAAACTGGTTGCCGACAATACTCACTCTCACTAGAGAAGATTGGAGCTTTGTAAAAGCGTTTCAAAACAGTTTTTGACAATTCTTTCGACTGAAATTGTTAGAGCAGCTGGCAGCAAAAGATTGTAAACAAACCAATACTGCATATGTGTGCGTTCCATAGAGAAAAAGGCTATAGAAAGAAGGTCGCTGCTTAGGTTGCCGAGAATACGTAAATTCCCCTAAGTTCTACAATTTTTCTTAAGCGCTATACAATTTATAAACGCTCACGGAACTTTGCCTTTCCCTGGAAAGCCTGGACATCCCTGAAGTTTTCTATGCTTACCTTAATTTCTCTTAATTGATCAATTATTCCGGTAAATTTTCTGATACATATTTATAATTCCCTGAATCTAAAGTTTTCGGATCAATCATAGAATTCTCAGAATATCCCATAATTCCAAGGAACTCCTTGTAAGTCGCTGCAAAGTTTCTTAAGTTAATGGGATTTTTCTGATGTTATCTGATAGTCCTCGAAGTACTCGGAACTTCACTGAATATAATTAAACAATCTAAAAATATCTAAATTTCTTAGAAGTTCTCTAAAATTTCTTGAAAATATCGGTGCTTGCTAAAAGTTCTCGCATTTCTTTTATTAATGGAACTTCGATGATGTTTCGCTAATCAATTTGGCTAAATTTTCGAAAATTTTTAGATCTTGAAATTTCCATGATAGGGGAAATGGCTCTAATGTTGGCCTATGGATCTAAGATTGGGCACATCGCTAAAAATCTGCTATTTATCAATTTTATCTAGATGAACGCGTCATTGGGACGGTACTAATGGGTATTTTTGGTCACTATTGAAAATTTAGTCGATTACTGAATTTATGTATGGGTTCAAATTAGGGGCATTTTCCCTATAACACCCTTGAAATACTCTTACATTTTACGGATGTTCATATAATTTTTATTGCGTTCCAGACACTTACTGAAGTTTCCAGAAACTCCCGGAAATTTTCTTGAAACTTCTTCAAAGTTTCTGCAATTTCCATGAAATTTTCTGAACTTCCCTTTAATTCTCAGATCTGTCTTGATGTTCTCGGAGCTTCCCTAAAGCTCTCAATTCTAATGAAGATTTCTGTTCTGCTTTAAAATAAATGGAATAATCGTGAACACTTTTAAACTTCCCTGGAATTCTCTGGATTTCTGTGAAGTTCCCAAAATATTTCTGAAGTTTTCATAAATTTTCTGAAGGTATCTGAATCTCTCGGAACATCTTAAGGGTTCTCGATTTTATTTCAGCACATCATGGAACTATCCTGAATTTGTCCAAACTCACGTTATAGGTTATAGGACTTCCCTTTAAGATCTCTGGAACTCCCCAAGGATCTCTAGATCTAGCTTTTCTGAGATAAATAGAACATTTTTAAAAAAATTCACGATTTTGCTAGTACGAAACTTCAAGACATTAGAAATATTGTGATCTTAGACTTACTAAAATGAAGTAATCTTCAACATTTAATGGATTTGATAGTAAAGCTGTTTCTTTAAAACTGATTGTTATGTCTTAAAAACGTTTACGTTAACACTCCGAATACGGTGGGTAAAAAACTTTACGCCGACTACGAAGCATCCGAAAAACGTGTAACGGCACGTTTTCAATGGCATAGCTTAGTCATTTCTTAATGAATTTCAAAAATTTTGGTACCTTTAGAATTCCTAGGGTTTGTAGATGGTTTTGATTGTAAAAAGATTGAAAATAGAGTCGTCTACTTTTTTAAAAAGCAAACAGAGTTGTTACACGTTTTTTTGAAAGGTGTGTTTGTAGGGTTTGCAAGTGGCGCAAGATCTGTAATTTAGATAAATGGGCACAAATGTTCACAATTAGTCATATGGACCCTGGAGACAACGAAACGGTCCTCGAAAAATCCGGAACATCCGTAAAAGTGGTCAATCCATGAACCTGATCCTAGAGCTCTGCGGTTTTTTTTGAAAACATTAAGAAATGTGATAGGGGAAATGACGGCTTCGGCATGACAGACTATTTTCGGCAACCTAAATTGAAACACTATTTTCACTGAATTTTCTTACGAAAACACTTCGCTGAATGCATGCAAACGATTCTTTATGCTTTCAGCTTCAATTTGACTATATTTTTACCACTGAGAAAAAGCAATCTAGCAGGGTTTTCTTGAAATGAAACACAAGCACTACAAATTGTAGCTGATTTCGAGTTGCTGATAATAGAACAGCAGGTTTACATGCAGTTCAAAAGGAATGCTTGCCGAGGAAAAACTGGTTGCCGACAATACTCGCTCTCACTAGAGAAGATTGGAGCTTTGTAAAAGCGTTTCAAACCAGTTTTTGACAATTCTTTCGACTGAAATTGTTAGAGCAGCTGGCAGCAAAAGATTGTAAACAAACCAATACTGCATATGTGTGCGTTCCTTAGAGAAAAAGGCTATAGAAAGAAGGATTCCCCTATAAAAAAAAAACATTTGAGGTCGTGACACAAACAAGTACCTGGATGGCCATGGGACCGTCCTCCGGAAGATCCGGAACACCCGTAAAAGTGGACAATCCATGAAACTGGTCCTAGAGCTCTTTTATTTTTTAACATTAGGATCTGTGATATACGAATGAATTTGGGTCATGGACCCAAATGGCCATCGGACAGTCCAGCGGAGGATCCGGAACATCCGTAAAAGTAGTCAATCCATGAACCTGATCTTAGAGCTCTGCGGTTTTTTTGAAAACATTAGGAACTGTGATGATAGAAATAAGTTTGGGTTGTGACATAAACATGAACCTCCGGATGATCCGGAACATCCGTAAATGTGATCAATCCATGAAACTGATCCTAGAGCTCCGCAGTTTTTTGAAAAACTCTAAGAACTGAGATGATAGAATGAATTTGGGGTCGTGACATAAACATGGGCCTTGATGGCCATGATACCGTCCTCCAGAAGATCCGGAACATCCGTGAAAGTGGAAAACTCACGAAACTGATCCTAGAGCTCCGTGGTTTTCTTGAAAACGTTAGGAACTGTGATATTAGAATGAATTTGGGCGTTTTGCGAACCAG